AGAATCTCTCAGAATCTTTCAGAATCTCTCAGAATCTCTCAGGATCTTTCAGAACCTCTCAGAACCTCTTAGAATCTTTCGGAATCTCTCAGAATCTCTCAGAATCTCTGAGAATCTCTCAGAATCACTCAGAATCTTTCAGAACCTCAGAATCTCTCGGAAACTCTCAGAATCTTTAAGAATCTCTGAAAATCTTTCAGAATCACTCAGAACGTGTCAGAATCTCTCAGAAGCTTTCTGAATCTCAGAATCTCTCAGAAGCTCTGAGAATCTCAGAGAATTTTTCAGAACCTCTGAGCATCTCTGAGAATCTCTGAGAATCTCTGAGAATCTCTGAGAATCTCTCAGAACCTCCGAGAATCTCTGAGAATCTTTCAGAATCTCTCAGAATCTCTCAAAATCATTCAGAATCTCTCAGAATCTCTTAGAGGCTCGCAGTGGCTCTCCGAACCTTGCAGAGGCGTGGAGCTTTGCAGAGGCTCCAAAGTGGTTGGGATCTCACGCGCCCCACGTGTCCTTGACGGTTGGGATCTGAACCGTCCGGTTGGGATCTCACGCGTCCCGTTGGGATCTGAACCTTTCTCGTGCAAAGTCTGGCTGGGCACGGTGGACCTGGAACGTCCCAACGAGACACCCGCCAGACGCATAGCCAGACATCAGTCGGAGTTGGGCGCAGTCTTCCGCGCGCTGTGGACCGCGCGCACGCAGCGTACTTGGCCCCCTGGATCCAGGGCGCCCAAATCCGACCCGAAATTGCACGCGGCCACGTCCATCAATAAGTTTCTCGATGACTGGAAGGACTGCGGGTACGACGCCTACCAGATGAACACGAGGCTGGGCTACGGCATTGACTGGGGCAGGCTACATGCCGACTACCTGCGACACTCCCGTGCCGACGGCAGGGGCAAAGGCAGCTGCCAGCAAACCAGCTGGCGAGACCGCGCGACAAGCTCCTGGGACACTTGGGGCAGCTGGCAGGGCGAGTGGAGTGATGGATGGCGCGAAGATCGCGGGCAGACGGGCGGCAAACGCGGCGGAAGCCGCCCCGACGATCGAGACGATAGAGACGAAAAGAGGCCCTGATGGAGGGGCTGAGCTCACTCCCCACTTCCAGCGCCATGCGCCACCACGACAACCTCACTACACACTGCGTGCGGCCTTCAGCCGCTTTCTTCCTCTCCAACTGCGGGGCAGCCCGACTGCCCCCCCCCCCCCGACGGCACTCTTCCTACCTTTGGACCATGGTGTGCCGCTCAGTAATACGATCTGCACCACTGCGTAACAGTGCGCAGCTTGCAGACCCTAGCTGGCCCCTGGCCCCGCTGCCCTTACTCGTACCAGTGGCCGCTGAATCCTAGCCGTAGGGTTCACGTTGTCCACTCTGGCTGTGTTTCACACCCTGGAGCTCCCCCTGGCGCCTTGAGCCGCGCTGCGGGCTCCGCTCGCTTGCGGCGTTCCGCCGCCCTCCCCCCGACGCGCGCACCTCCTGCCTTTGGACTCAGGTGTGCGCGTCGGTAATACCGTCCACTCAGCTCAACTTCGCTAGTGGACCTGTGGCCCCGGCCTTACTGTTGACGTTTTCACCCGCCGGGTGCGGCCTGGCGCACGTCTGTGGGCCCCGGCGGTCTCGCCCGTCCATAGATTCGTCACTCCCTGGATTTCTCAACTCTTTAACGGCCTTCAGCCGTGACCCTGGAACGAAGTGACTCTGAGGGACGCGTTTTGGGTATACGACGGTCCCGTCCATCGGGTGCTACCCTACACGCGTACGCGTGGCGCTGAGTCACTTTGGTGGTGCACTTTCAGCTATCACGTGTTTCTACCGTGTGGTTTTGTGCACGTTGCTGTGCTCTTACCAGTCGCTGGCCCAAGGGCACAGGCGCATCTCAGTTGTGGAAGGTTCTTTCTCTGGCTACTCTGTCTCCACGCCCTGGATGCGTGTTCTGGCGTCGCGATGGTCCGCCTTCGCCGTCAGGGTTTCCCCGCTGGACTGTGTGACCAGTCAGTCTGTGCTACCCGTCAGACTCCCTGGATTGACGTCTCGCTCGGGACCGTTTCCTATCCGTTCGTATTCGAACTGTTGGGAACGCCTTTCGCGCCACTTTGGCTGCGCTCTGCTTCCTCTGTGCCTGTGTTCAGACTCCCTGGATGCGCCGTTGTATGTTCCTTTCAGGGGCTGCCCTGCAGACTCCCTGGATTTGCACGCCTTGGCTCAGACGCCCTGGGTCGCTGCTGCCTGCCGCCTGACCGCGGCCCCGCGCGCGCCCGCTCCCTAGTCGCGGCCGCAGCCCGACCGTGACCGCCTGCCGCTGGCGCTTCCGCCTGCGGCTGTAAAAAAAAAGAATCTATCTATATATATATATATATATATATGTATGTGTATATATATATATATATATATCCCCACCAGCCCATCCTACACCAGGCACTCGAACGAAGAGCGCCGATGATCGGCAGCTGTTCTCCTCCCCCTCTTCCTCCTTTTCCTCCGTTTTCTCCTCCTCCTCCCTTCCTCCTCCTCCTCCTCCTCCTCCTCCTCCTCCTCCTCCGCCTCTTCCTCTTCCCTGGTGGCGTCTTGGAGGTATCTTCGAACGTTTTGGTGGGCTCTTGGGCCTCGCGGGCGGGCGGGCGGCGCTCCGCCCGCCCGCGCGCAGGGCGCAAGAGGAGAGTCCGAGACGTCTCTTGAGGCCTTCTTGGAGGACATCGATCGCAGAAGGGGGAAGCATTTTTTAGCGTCGCCCCCCTGGGGGGCACGATCCTCGTGAGGGGTGTCGAATTTTAGCCCTCCCAGGGGTCGTTTTTGGACGGTCTAACTACCCGCGGCCCCCCCTGTCCAGGTCAGTGGGGAGGGGGTAGGGGGAGGGGTAAGCCCCTCCCCGAAGGGGAAGAAGGAGGGGTGGAAGAGGAAACGCTCTAAACCACCGACGCCCAGAGGGCTGGTGGGATTTACTCAGGAGCCGCGCTCCCGACACTCAGGCACCCATGAGTCGCGCTCACGCTTAGGACTCCCTCACAGATTATTTGGGAATCGGGATCTCGCTGCCCTTCGTGGGCCGGTTGCAGCCCTTCGTGGCCCCTTCGCTGCCCTTCGCGGCCCCGTTGCAGCCCTTCGTGGCCCCCTCGCTGCCCTTCGTGGCCCCGTTGCTGCCCTTCGTGGCCCCGTTGCAGCCATTCGTTGCCCCCTCGCTGCCCCTCGTCGCCCCGTTGCAGCCCTTCGTGGCCCCCTCGCTGCCCTTCGTGGCCCCATATATGTATGCCCTTCGTGGCCCCAGATTCATTCCCGTCGTGTCCCCGCTGTCTCCCTTCGTGGTCCCCTCGCTGCCCTTCGTGGCCCCGTTGCTGCCCTCAGTGGCCCCGTCCTTGCCCTCCGCGGCCAAATATACGTATGCCCTTCGTGGCCCCCGCTCGTTCGCGCCCGTCGTGGCCCCATGTGCATGCCATTCGTGGCCCCGCTGTCGCCCTTTGTGGCCCCCTCGTTGTCCTACGTGGCCCAGTTGCTACCCTCAGTGGCCCCGTCGTTGCCTTCTGTGGCCCCGCATTATCTGCCCTTCGTGGCCCCCGCTCGTTCGCGCTCTTCGTTGCCCCATACGCATTCTTTTCGTGTCCCCGTTGTCGCCCTTCGTGGCATACTTCGTGCCCTTCGTGGCCCTGCTGTCGTTCTCTCTCTCTCTCTCTCGCTCTCGCTTTCGCTCGTCGTCGTCGACGTCGACGTCGTCGTCTTCGTCGTCGGTCCCCTGCCCGTCCCTCTTGGGGTCGGGTTGCCGCCGATCAGCGCTGCCGCTGGCCCCGGCCTGCAGGGAAGAAAGGCATATCCCTCAAAAGGGGTACGATCGAAGACGAAGAGGGCGGGCATCGAGGGCATCGATAAGAGCGAAAAGTCTCAAATTGCCTGTTATTGGTGTTGCTATTGATGCTGATGGTGTTGTTGCTGTTGGTGCCAGTTGTGTTGGTGATGGTGTTGTTGTTGGTGGTGGTTTTGGTGGTGGTGTTGGTGTTGTTGTTGGTGGTGTTGTTGTTGGCGTTGTTGGTGTTGATGACGGTGTTGGTGTTGGTGTTGTTGTTGGTGTTGGTGTTGGTGTTGTTATTGTTGTTGCGGTTGTTGTTGTTGGTAGTGTTATTACTATTGTCGGTGTTGTTAATGTTGTCGTTGTTGGTGTTGCTGCTGGTGGTGTTGGTGTTGTTGTTGCTGATGTTGTTGTTGTTGGTGTTGCTGTTGTTGTTGGTATTGGTGGTGGTGGTGGTGTTGCTGCTGCTGTTGTTGGTGGTGGTGGTGATGGTGTTGTTGTTAGTTGTGTCGTCGTCCCACCCGCCACCCACCCCGCGACCCACCCCGCGACCCACCCCGCGACAAGCCCCGCGACCCACCCCGCGACCCATCCGCGACCCAACCCGCGACCCACCCGCGACCCACCCAGCGACCCACCCGCGACCCACCCCGCGACCCACCCGCGACCCACCCGCGACCCACCCGCGACCCACCCGCGACCCACCCGCGACCCACCCCGCGACCCACCCTCGACCCACCCGCGACCCACCCGCGACCCACCCCGCGACCCACCCGCGACCCACCCGCGACCCACCCGCGATTCACCCGCGACCAATTTGCGACCCACCCGCGACCGACCCACATTGGTTCAACGAAAAAAGCGGCGCCGCTTGCGGCGGGCTTCTCCAGAGACCCGCGAATGGCCGACGTCCCCACCGCCCCCCTCACTCTGATCCGCACCTGCAGGATGCCGCCTACTCCAGATTTCATAATAAAAGGGAGGGGGTCTGGACCCTCCAAGACCAGCCATTTCAGACTTCCCCCGTGGGAGAACCCTCCAAAACATCGCCCCCAGACCCCCCCAGGCCCTCCAAGATGGCCTGGAAGAGACCACCCCCCGAAATGAGACCCCCCTCCCTTTTATCACGAGATCTGGAGTAGTATGTTTAGTCTTCATTTTTACGCACACCGTCGAGCCACGCTCGATCCTGGATCCCCACACGCCGCGGGGGAGGCGCACCTCGCCGCGGTGGTCTCCGCGCTGGCGCACATCACCGACGGGCTGGACGCGCTCGGGGAGCGCCTCAGGGAGCGCGGGCAGCAGGACGAGGACATCAGCCAGTTCATAGTGTGGGCTCGCAGGACAGGCGAGGAGGAGGAGGAGGAGGAGGAGGAGGAGGAGGATGCGTTGAGACCAGAGGGTTGGGCTTTTTTCCCCAGCTCCGCTCCACTCGCTCTCGTATCTCTCGCATCTTCGCCTCCCCGGTTTTGGCCCCGTCGCCCCCTGCCCCTTCGTCCGCAGGTGTTGATGGCGAGCAGGCTGCACGACGCCTAGCCGCCCTCGCGCGAAGCGCGAGAAAGTAGTTCAAGGTGTGGAAGAATCCGGCCACGCAGAACCTAGCCGGAGTCAAAAAACAAAGCCAGGCAGGGCGACCAGCAGCCGAGGAGGAGACTATTGGCCGCCGCATTGGTCCTGGCCCCCGTCTGTGTGCCAGGGGAAAAGTCCCCTCCCGAGTCGAAGGCGGTGGCCACGTCGCCAACCGCAGTCAGGGATATCAGTTGTCACTGAAAAGTCATGTAAGGGACACGCTTCGCTGCCAGCGGGAATTAAGCTATACAAACCAGCTTTGGCCGAGCCCCCAGAGAAGAGGATGACGACGAGCAGGACCCCCCGCAACACGAGGCGCCCCCCTTCCCAGCCGCAACCCTGCGCGAGCCGCCTCGGCAGACAGCAATGGCGGGTTCCGCGCACCTTGTGCCCAGGCCCCCCCCCCGGAAGGGAGCCAGCAATCAGGTGTCGGCAGGCATCGCACGCCAGTGCCATCAGCCGAAGCAGGGCGCAGGGAGGACGAGAAGCGTCAAGGTACCCCGTGCGCAGAGGAGCCCCGCGCGCCGTTCAACAGCAGGCTTTCCTCGGGCCGCTGGCGACAGGGCAAAACCCCCGTCCGTGCACGCCCCTGCCCCGCAGTGGAGGCAAGGGCCGTCTCCGGATGCCGCTGAGCGACTCTGTAGACACCGCGCAGCGCACGGCCCCGGCCCTCCGGAGGGGCGTCGGGGGGTGGGGCACCGGCGTGCTTGCCCGCGGCCGCTCAGCTTGCGCCGAACAGCCGCACGTCCCAGCTGCCCGGGACGTCCCGCCTCTCGCCTTTTACGAGCTGGCGCTCGTCAAGAGAGCTGCGCGACGGGAACTTGCAGTTCGTCAATTTCTCCCGCAGGCCGCGCGCTTGTTGCCGCTGCTGCCAGAGGTAGGTGAGGATTGTTTGGCAGAGGAGGAGAAGTCGGCGATTACAATCGGTGCGGTTACGCCAGGGTGCGGTTTGCGAGTTGCTTTGTGGCGGCCTTTCTGGGGCTTTTGTGAGAGACAATGTCATATTTGTCGTCGTTTCGAGCGACACTGTCATCCTCGATGTGTGCTCCACTGTACTAGAAGGAGCGACCGTGTCATGTGATTCGGTCGCATTGAGTGACAGTGTCATCCGTTTCCTGGGGGCGGGAGGGGCAGAACTGATGCGAGACAAACCGCACCCTTCGCAAACCGCACCCATTGTAGTTGCCGAAGAAGGGTCGAAGGGAAGGGGCAGAGGAGGAGGAGGAGGAGGAGGAGGAGGAGGAGGAGAAGGCGGCAGCGGAGAGAAGAGGAGGAGGAGGAGGAGGAGGAGGAGAGCGACGAGGAGGAGGAGGAGGAGGAGGAGGAGGAGAGCGAGGAGGAGGAGGAAGAGGAGAAGGAGGAGGCCAAAGCAGTGCCAGTCAAGACAGCGGCGGCCCTTCCCGGCTCTGATTGTCCTCTTCGGGGCGTGCCGAGAGGCCTCTCGCCGCCGCGGCTGGATCCTCCTCGAGAAGAATATCATCTTCAGGAGTATTTTGGCAGGCTGCACTCAGTTCGGCGCCCTTGACTGTGTTCCTCTGCCGCGCAGCTACTAGGCTACAGTGGGGGCGCGCATCAAGAAGCCACATGCTCCTCGTCAGGGTATCTTGGGTGTCTTCGCTCCGCGCGCTGCGCGGTGACTTCCCGCAGCCGTTTTAAGAAGCCGTTGGGTTCAGGGTGCTCTGGGCTTCCCCTCAGGTGCCCCTCGGGCGCTGGCTTTCGGGGCTTGGCTCCTTGCGAGGGTTTCTCTTGCGGCCGCGCCCCCACTGCACTGGAGGCCGGCGAGGACCGCGAGCCGCGCCGGCTGCACCGTCGGCCCGGGACCGGAGTGGCACGGGGAGAGCCCCTCGGCTCCCCGGCACGCTGGCGCCGGCCGCGGCTGCGCGGCAGTCCCTCCTGGACGTCGAGCCGCTCGGGCTGCAGGGCGAGACCCCCACGTCGGGCTGGCTCGCCAGTGCACAGCAGACGTCAGAGCGTGAATGACCCACCCCGCGTTCGCTTCCAGGCAAAACCAGGTCATGCCACGCGCCTCCTCGTCAAGCGGCCTGACCAGCGCAGGCCGTAGTTTCGCATCGTTTGGTATCTCTTGGAAGCGAGGGTGGTCAAAAGCGAGGTAGGTTTGTTTTCCCCCTGAGACGTGGAGGGTTTTACACACCGCCAGCGCGTCGCCTCAAGCGGAAGGAGGTGCGCCAAGCGCGCAGCGTGAGGGTTCGTGGCGGAGGGGTGGTTCGCACGATGGCCAAAAGCGCTTCGCCTGTCTCCAGGAGCAAAAAGCCTCAGGCACGTGCGCCAGGGCGGATGGCCTGAGGATTCAGACGCCCTGGCGCAAAGGGATGTTGCCGTCAGCGGCTCCTGGCGCCACCGCTTCGGACTCGACGGACGAGCAGCGGGCCAAACTGCGTCACACGGCGGTCCTACTGCGCAGTGGTAAGGGCGAAGCGGGGATCGAGTCTAGCACGCTGCATTTAGCCACGCGGCACGCCAGGGTCACGGACCTGATCTTTGACATCAACGCCGCCCCGTTATTGATTGTTCTCCTGGGATTGGAGACTGCTTCCCGCGAAGCTGCAGCCAGCCTAGACTGCGTTAAAAACGCAATGGTTGTTCGTGAATCCCGCATGGGCTGGGGCTCGTGGCCCCCTCACGGCAGCCTGGCTCAGCTTGTTGCGTATCGTACGGACCATGCAGTCCAGCTTGGTGTTTCTCACTTGCCAGGGCGAGCTTATCCCGCTGCTCCACACGGCGCCCGCTCGAGATGGAACGCTGCGCTGGCAAGGTCGCCAGATTCTTGCACACTGTGGTCAGCTAGTTCCAGAAGGCACGCAGCCCTGGCACAGGGCTACGCGCCGTGTTCTGGCGCCGTTCCGTGTCTTGTTAACGGGGGCGCGGGCTGGCAATTCGCGTAAGTTGATAGCCAACACACAAGAACCTCTGCATCGACTCGCCGTATTGTCCCTGCTGCTTTACCCAGCAAGTATCCACGCGAGGCTACCAGTGCTACGAGTGTGGCGGGCACATTTTGCAGCACGACGAGGTCAGCTAGCTCGAGCCGCCCTCCCAGGAAAGCCACAGTGTGCGCATCAGGCTGGCCAGCTCCTGGCACAGATCGCCGATCCACACGACGATCGGTCCTCTCCTGCCTCGGCGCCGCCTGCAGCCACCCCCACGTGCGACGTCCGCGTATGGGATTCACGGAACCTCCCGGGAGGCGCTGCGCTCGACCGCCGCTTGCACGCACGGCACGGCCCCAGGCGTGCGTGCCCTTGCGACCGAGCGCGCGCGCAGCCGGGAGCCGACGGCTTGCCCACGTACGCGGCCCATGCCGTGCTCGGCGGCCGGCGGCGGCCAGCAGGCAGAGCCCAGCGCACCGCCGTGCTCACGGCGGTGCGCTGCTTGAGCTGCGCCTCGGCGTCGTCGTGTTGGCGTCGCCGGTGGGGCACACCGTGTGCACACTGGCGTCGCTCCTTGGAGCTACGTCTTGGTGCACAGTGACTCCGTCCTGGCGTCGCTCGTGGGCGGTGGCCGATGCTGTCGGCCCGGTCGAGAGGGGGTACGGAAGCAAGAGGGGGGAAGACCGACAACAGTGCCTGCCCACGCTGGCCGGGACTCGCGGCCGGTGTCGCCGCGGGCATCTTGTCGATTTGGTGCAGCGTTGTGTGTCCAGCCGCGGCCGCTGCGGGTTTTGGGCAGCACTTGCTGCTGGGCATGGTGCCCATGTGTCTCAGGAGGGAAAGAAACACACAGACACAATTAATCGTCGACTCCCAGGAAAATATAGGAAAATATGGGAAGTGGGGGGGAAGACAAAAACCCAGAAAATATGGGAAAATATGGGGGATATTTTTATTTGTGTGTATTTATTTGTGTGTCCCAGTTCCCCTTCAGTGTCCCGCACCCACCCCGGGCGTGCCCATCCTGGGGCCTGCGCCCTGTCAGCTCTCTGTGCCAGTGCGCGGACAGACGGCGTAGCAGAACGAGCATGGAAAGCGCAGAGACCAAGCCCGGTTTCACGCGGCTGCTTGCTCGCAATTCGATTCATGAAGAAAGCATGTTGCCAAGTAATTTCCAGATGTCTAAAATATGTTTCAAACATGCTTTTAATATGTAAAAACATGTTTGAAAAATGTTGAGAACATGCTTTAAACATGTTTAACACATCTTTAGTTCAATGATAGGATTGTTAGAGTGTCCATTGTCATGGCATCCACAACTCTACCTGGTCAGCGGCCAGGACACCTCAGATTTACACGGCAACGACTGGACCGACTCCTTCGCGAAGTGAGGGGCCCAGGAGCATGTCCTCGAGGTTGGCGCGCCATGTCTCCCAAGCTGCGGCTCCCAGACGCCATGGCAGATGCGGTGCGCCTTCCCCTGGCCGGACGATCGCGCGGCACGAAGAGCCGCGGCGGCAGCACCAGCAGATGCTTGCTTTCGCCAGGCTGGCGCTGGCGCGACACCCTGTGAGACGTGTGGGCGGCAGACTCTCTGCACCGCCACGGCCTCCTCGGACGTCCGAGGCGGCGCCCCGAGCGCACGGGAGTGCGCGCCTTCGCCACTGCAAGAGCCTGCGACGTGCGCGCTCGCCCGCTTGCCGCGACACTCGCCTGCTCCTCCGTCTGCGGGCGGCGGGGAGGCCATCCAGATCGCCCGGGGCTCCAGAGACGGGGGTCGGTGCAAAGGGGGACCGGCCAGAGCGCAGGAACTCGCAGGATCCTGCAGGGCTTGGGGTTCATCGACCCGGGCTGGCGTGCAGGATCCTGCAGAGTCCTGGAGAGCCCGACTGGCCCAGGTTTGCACTT